CGGTTACTACTGCACGTTGCTGCTCACCGTGACTACGAGCTGCACTCTCTCGACTTCAGCACTGCTTCTTGCAGGGCAACCTGCACGAGGAGATCTGGCTGCGTAGCCCACCTGGCTTCACTGGGTCCTTTCCCTCCAGGTACCCAGTGGAGTCTCCAACGTCCAGTCTACAGTCTCCGCCAGGCGCCACGTGAGTGGCACGACACACTGAGGACTACGCTTGCGGCACTTGGGTTTGCTCCTTCTACTGCCGACCCGTCGCTGTTTCTGCGCACCGACACCTCTCTGCCGCCGTTCTACATCCTCGTGTACGTCGACGACTTGGTCTTTTCCACAGCTGACACTACTGGACTCGCCTACGTGAAGTCTGAGCTGCAGAAGAGACACACGTGCACTGACCTGGGTGAACTGCGCAGCTACCTTGGCTTGCAGATCACCCGGGACAGAGCACGCCGCACCATTACCCTGACTCAGTCACACATGGTGCAGCAGGTCCTTCAGCGCTTCGGCTTCACGTACTCCTCGCCTCAGGCCACTCCTCTGCCTACTCGCCACTCGCTCTCAGCTCTGCCTTCGGATGAGTCCGTAGAGTCGATGTGGCCCGTATGCAGAGCTTGTTGGCTGCCTCATGTACCTGATGACCTGCACTCGACCTGACCTTGCATACCCTCTTAGCATTCTCGCACGCTATGTTGCTCCTGGGAGACACCGACCACAGCACATGGCTGCAGCGAAGAGGGTGTTGCGCTACTTGTGCAGTACGTCGGGCATGGGGCTAGTGCTTGGAGGGCGCAGTCCAGTGGTCCTCACTGGGCACGCGGACGCTTCTTGGGCTGACGACCAGGCTACGCAGCGGTCGTCACAGGGTTACACCTTCGGCCTTGGTTCCGGCTCTGTTTCGTGGCGGGCTACTCGACTCGTCTTCTCTTCTCGGCTCCAGTTGTAAGGCTGAGATCTACGCCGGGGCTATGGCTGCTCAGGAGCTTCGCTGGCTCACCTACCTTCTGACCGACCTTGGAGAGCCGCCTCGTTCTCCTCCAGTCCTGTACGTAGACAACAAGGCCATGCTGGCCTTGTGTCGAGAGCAGCGACTGGAGCACAGGACAAAGCACATTGCTCTCCGCTACTTTCTTGCTCGTGAGCTACAGCAGCGTGGACAGTTGCGACTTGCGTACGTGGCCTCTGAGGCCAACACTGCTGATGTCTTCACCAAGGCACTTGCGCCTTGTGATCATCAGCGTTGTTGCACGCAGCTGGGTCTTGTGCCTGTCTTTGCCTTTCTTACTCACTTCTTGACCTTGCTTGTACCTTCACTTATATATACTCTTGCTCTTGCTTAATTGACTCTTGTATATCTCTATATATGATGTTGTATGTGAACTGGCCTTGTGGCCTTTGAACTTGTGCTCGGAATGTGTGGTGACTTGTGATCCACCTTGAGCTTTGCTTTGCTTTGCTTGACTGGTCTTGTGACCCCTTGTTCTCCCCCACTTTGCCTATGGGGGTGTGTCAGAACATATAGCTTACTTATTTGTGTAGGCTATAGTGGGGTATCCCATAAGGGGTACAACCCAAATTAGGGTTTCCTATTTGTACTCACTTCGTTCATTCTCGTTCACTTCTTCTCACACCTTTCTTGCTTGTTCTCTCATATTTGTACCCTTGAAACTATAGTGAAACCCTCTTTTCTCTCGACATTTCTCCTCCAACTCCAACTCAACTTCCTACCTCACTAGCTATGGCTCCTAAGCCTTGCTATATTTTTGACAATGAAATCATCACGACAGCGGCCGGCAGGACAGTTGCAGCCGATACCACCCCCAGAGCGTGCTTCGCAGCAGGTGACGATGGACTTCGTCACGGGGTTACCAGCCGGGGCGAGTGGGAACGACGCGATCCTGGTCGTCGTCGATCGACTAACGAAAATGGCACATTTCGCAGCCTACAAAAAAATCAATCACAGCCGAAGAAACAGCACGTCTCTTCATCTCCACCGTCGTTCGACTGCACGGGATACCAGCCGCGATCATCAGCGACCGCGACACGAACTTCACTAGCAACTTCTGGCGGAACCTGTGGCAGCAGTTCGGCACGCGACTGCAGTTCAGTTCATCATACCACCCCGAAACCGACGGATAGACAGAACGGACAAATCAGACCATGGAACAGCTCATCAGGGCCACGTGTGACGACGCGACCACGTGGGAACAGCAACTGCCACTAATCGAATTCGCGTACAACAACTCGCCATCCGCCACGACCCAACAGTCACCATTTTACCTAAACTACGGATAAGACCGGACAGTACCCATGACCGCGAATCCCGACAACCCACTACCACGAGCACAACAGCTCGCCGAAATATTACAAGCAGCACGGACCCGGGCAGTAGACGCAATAAAAAAATCGAACATCATCGCTAAACGCAACGCCGACCGCCACCGCAGACCTATCACTTACCAGCCCGACGACTTAGTTTTACTTGACACTCAGAACCTCCCACTGCCCATCACCTCGAAACTCCGCCCCCGATACTGCGGGCCATTTCGCATAAGCTTCATGCTTACACCCGTCACCGCCCACCTCCTCCTCCCTGCTGACTGGTACGTCAGCCCCTCATTCCACGTCAGCCTACTTCGCCCTTACGTCCCGTCCACGAGCCAACTGCCACGCAATCGCCTAGCCAGCATGACAAGACCACCAACTGAACCAATCATCACCCCCGAGAAAATCCTGAGTCACAGAGTTCGCGACCCTCGAGGAGCCCGACAGATCGAGTTCTTTCTCCGCTGGAAGGACCCGCACACCCACCGAAGACAATTGGGTTCCCCTGGACAGAATCGAAAACCACCCCGTCCTCACCGAGTATCTGCGCAGCCGGAACTCCAGGGATGTACAACGCACTTTCGTAAGGAGGACCTCCTTAGGGGGGGGGGGGGGGGGGGGGGGTAGTGTAAGGAAAATTCATTTCCTTACTTCGCATCCCTGCTCAACGCGTACATCACTGTAGCACCACAGTCAGCACCGTTACCACTCGCAACCCTCGCATCGACAATCCGCCCGCCACCTTCGCACATCGCACCCCGACCTCACGGCTTGGCGGGTAACCCACGCTCCGGGCCTCCGCTTCAACACTTTTTCCCAACCTCAGTCCCAGGCCCGTCGCGCGAAAAACCACAGTCCAGTACCGTTACCACTGTAGTTTCGCTATATATTCTTCGCTCATGCCTTCGCTCATTGTACTCTTGCTTCGATAGTGCAATTCTCGTTCGTTCACATCAATTGCACTCGTAACAAGTTTCGAAATTTCAGAAAGGACCGTTCTGCACCCGCTATTGGGACCGTCCGCAACGAATAAAGTGGACAGTACGAAAAAACATGGAAAATAAGAGAAACGCCCTCAGGGCTTATTCGCGGTCGAACATCGAAAGGCCTTTTGGTGTCTGTCAGATGACAGGTGGACCTCTCAGGAACCCCTCTCACGCACTGCTGTCTGCCAGCGCAGCATAACCCGATTGCCTCGTAACGGCCATACGGTCCAAAACCCATCGGGTACTGTAGCGCAGCTGAATCTAGAACGGGGGGGAACCTGGGTGAGTAGCGCACGAAAGCTTACACTTGTCGCGCGCTTGCTTGAACTTTTCGCGCACTTGCTTGTGTGGCCACTGGGCTGGCTGGGCTGGGCGGAACTTCCTGCGATGGCGGCAGGGGGAGGGAAGCTGGAAAAGGCGGAAGGCGCTAGGGATTTGGTTGGTAGGCGTCGCTACTTTTAGTGAGGGGGACTTTTGGGACCACTCAAGAGTCATCTTGGGAATGGGGAAATGGAGCAGGCGACAACATCGAGAGACCTGACACAGCGTTCACGCTGGTGCATTAAGAATCCAGAATGCTTCAAAGAGATACACAACGGTATTGGGACTACTGCCTACCCTATCAAGGCCTCCGCCCTTCTGTTGATGATAGGATGTGTGGTGGAGGAGAGAAGGGGGGGAGGACAAGGGGGAAATGAGGTACTGTGTACAGTTGTGAGGGAAGGGGAGTGAGGGGGGGGAGCCCCAACCCCCTCCCCCCCCTACTTTGCCCGTGACCAGTCACATCACGACGAGTCGCCCCACCCTCTTAGACTCTCATCTCACCACCAGCAGCAGCGCTAGCGGCGGACGGGCAACATCTAGCCACCTCCACGCGGCCTGTAGAGTGGCGTGGCGTTTTGCAGCTTGCTGTTTTTTCGGTTGACTGCTGTTTAGTAAACCAACAAGGTGGGTGACGTGGCGTGCTCTCCTGCTGCGTGTATGCTGCCTCGTGCCTCCGACGATCTAGTAGGGTCGTCGAGCAAAAAGGTTTTGCTGCTCACGTGTCAGCATCGTTCGTTACCTTCTATGTGGAACTATTTGGTCACTAGCTAATGTGAAAGGTGGGAAGGTTTATTTGATATCTGCGATAAGAGGGGGAAGCCGAGCGCGCACACGTGCAAGGCAGACAGAGCCGGAAACCCTTCCCCGCTTTGCACGCTGCTGCTCGTCTTCCCAACTTTAGTTCGCTGCCACTACTCATCATTTCCATGCCGATTAATCTTAGTCCTAAACCCCACTGCTTCTGACACCTATCTGCCGTCAAGCCGGTCCGCACCGCACCTTCGTTCGCTATCCCCACAGTGACGATCTTCTCTGCCATAACCGTTGACCTTCGTTCACCAGCCGTTCCCCTCCTGGTTTTCATCACCAACTGTGTCCGCCATCCGCTGTTGCTCCTCATCCAGTCACCCAGTAGACCACTTTACGCCTCGTGCACCTTACGACCCGCCTGTCAGCCAAGCGCTTTTCGATGCCTCCGTCGTAGAGCCTCCTCGCCGTCGATCCCGCCCTTCATCCTTCCACCAGCACCCGTCTCTCTCATAAGTCTCCTCATAAGCCGTTTCCAATAAAAACCCTTCCCGCCAAACGCCCTTTTCGCCAAAAAGCCCTTTTCGCCAGAAATCCGTTTCACTTCACCCCACCCTCATGGCGGCGCCGTCAGGGTCGTGTCCTACCGGCCAGTGGATGAGGTACTTGACGGATTCCGTCGACATTGACGTTGACGGTGACGGTCGGACCGTACTAGAGAATATGCTGGCCGAACAGCAATCCACATGTCAGGAACTTGAGAGGTGAGTGTCATTGCGCTTCAATTCACACTGCAGAGGTGTAACGAGCGACATTGTGACGGCATATCACGTCCTCGCCGCGTCTTTGCCGTGCCGTTTCCTGTCTCCGTCGCTCGCTCAACCAGTCCTCATATCTCTTGTCAGCTCCTCTTCTCCCGTTTCCTCCTGTGCAGGACGTCGAGTCGTGCCAATGAGAGCAGTGCCGCGGATAAAGAGCCGTCGCATTGCAATGAGCCGTCGCAGGACGCCGGAAACCGCACCGGCGTCGCTGCTTCCCACAAACGGCAAGTCACTAGCTTGGCTTTCTTGTTTCCCCTATCCTTCGGGGTCTTTCCGCTTGAATTCTCCCTCACTGGTCCTGAAACTATCCCGTTCCTCTCTTCCCTTATCCTCGTTACTGGCCGATCGCCCTTTTTCCATGCGTGTCTGGCGGACCAACGTAACTGGTTTTTCGTTCTTTTCCTAAGCGTTCTTTCTGCGTCTCGCGCCATCTCGTAACCCATTCCCGTCTCCTGCCGCATTCCCCGTCTCCCGACTCATTCCCCGTCTCCCGACTCATTCCCCAATGCTCTTGTTTGCCGCGCGGGTGTCGCCAGACCGAGGGAGGATGCGGTCGAGGCGAGCAGCAGCAAGGCCAATCGGGAGAAGATGCGCCGCGACCGACTCAACGACAGGTGCGTGCTTGGTGCTTGGTGCTTGATGGCTGGTGCTTGATGGCTGGTGCTTGGTGCTTGATGACTGGTGCTTGGTGCTTGGTGCTTGATGGCTGGTGCTTGGTGCTTGATGGCTGGTGCTTGGTGCTTGGTGCTTGATGGCTGGTGCTTGGTGCTTGATGGCTGGTGCTTGGTGCTTGGTGCTTGATGGCTGGTGCTTGGTGCTTGGTGCTTGATGGCTGGTGCTTGGTGCTTGGTGCTTGATGGCTGGTGCTTGGTGCGTCAATGAGTGTTTTTTGACAGGCGGGCGACCTCCGTCACCCCGCCGCGGCACAACCTTCCGAGTTCCCCGTGGCAGGTGGGTGGCGGTGCTTATCCTGCGTCACCCGTGCTCTGCGCGGAATCAACCGTCAATACTCCATCACCCCCCCTTCCCGTTCTTCGCACTCCCCGCCTGCGCTACCACTCAACGTGCCTGCGACCCCCTCCCGCCACCCTTCTCCCCAATGCGCATGGGACCTACCCCCTTCCGCCACCCTTCCCCCTACCGCGCCTGTTACCGCCCTTCCCGCCACCCTTACCCCTGACGCGCCTGTTGCCTACCCCCTTCCGCAACCCTTCCGCAGGTTCGTGGAGTTGGCGCGGTCTCTGGAGGGGAGCGGACAGGCGCGCGCGGACAGGGGGAGTATTCTGGCGGACGCGGTGCGCGTGCTGGCGCAGCTGCGCGCGGAGACAGCGCAGCTGCGGGGCTCCGCGGAGCAGATGAAGGAGCAGATCCGCGAGCTCAAGGTGCGGTGAGGGGGAATGTGGGGAAAGGGGGAGTTGTTGGGGAAGGGCGGAGGGGAAAAGTTGAAAGGATTACGAGGAATGGAGGCGGAGGCGTTGGAGGGGAAGGAATGGCGTCAAGGTTAGAGCGTGAGGCATTAATTGAAGTTGTTTCATAGAGTTTGATACATTTTGCTCTGTGCCAAACACGTTCTGTGTGTGCAGGCGGAGAAGAGCGAGCTGAGGGAGGAGAAGGCTCGTCTGCAGGCCAACAAGCAGCAGCTGGAGGAGCAGGTCCGCCGCATGGCTGCGTCCGGTGCCGCCCAATCCACCGCCGCCACGTCAGCAGCAGCCCCATCAGCAGCCGGCTCTGGTGCTGCCGGTGCTGTCCCCTTGATGCTGCATCCAGCGTGCGAGCCAGGCAAGGTAGCAGCACTAGGTGCACCCATGGGTTTGATCCCCATACCATTCATGCCTGGTGGGATGGTTCATTCTCATCCTCACCATCACCCCCACCCTCAATCTCAACCTGTGCAAAACTATCCCCTTGGAGGGAACCAGCCTGGTCCTGGTCACATAGCATACTCTGCTCCAACCCATCTTGCTGCTGCTCCTGCTGCTACTTGTGGCACTGCTGGCACTGCTGGCAGTGCTGGGACTGGTGGGACTGTTGCTGCTGCTTCAGGTCCACAGTACATGGCACCTCTGCCTTCCATGATGCCATATGGCATGCCAGGGATGGCGCCTATGGCCATGTGGCAGTGGTTACCGCAGTCTGCTGTTGACTCGTCCAATGACCAGATGCTCAGGCCGCCAGTGGCATGATTTGTCTTGTTGTGAAGTGAGGCTTTTCAGCGACACAGGTTTATTTTGCATGTTATTGTTGTAACTGATCTGATTGCTTATCGTTCCAAGAAAGCATCCAGAAATGGTTCCTGTGGCATTGTGGTGGTTGGTAGTGCTTGCTGCAGCCAGGTGCTCATTGTAAACCTGACGCTGTGGGAAGAAAGCAACCAGATACGGTATTGAAAGACTAGATAAATTCGATAGAACTAACAGGTTTTATTCTACAAAGGCGAGTAGCTACGCTACACGTTCATCGCACCCCTAGCACCGGGCCCGGACTTTCCGCGAATCCGCGATACAAGCCCCCTCCACTCACATACTGGTGTAGGGGCCTAGCAATGGCATTCTCAATCGCTGCCAACTCAAGAGTTTGAAGCGTCGAGCCCTCGGGATTCCTTCCTCGTCTTTCTCCGCTCTTCAGTTCCCGAGATTCCTTCATTCTCTTTCTCCGCTCTTGGCTCCAAGACGTTTCACTCACGATACATACCGCTTTTCACTGTGAGAAATTTACCTGGGTTCGCCGTCGAACCTCGTCTCGGTTCGGCTCGCTGTCCCAAGACCAGGGAGTTCCAAGGCACGAGGTTCCACAGCACGAGGTTGCTGCGAGCAGTCTTTTCGCGGGATTCGTGTTTTCGCCGGTTGTGTTTCTTGCGACATTTTACGAAGGCAGGAAGGAATCGGATTCATCTCAGGGTGATTGACGAATCGATTCTTGGAAGTCGAATGGCTGGAGACGACGGGGCGGAAGGGCGGCAGCAGGCGGAAGGCGGATCCGCGCACAGCCACGAGCATGCCGCGCCCGCGCCCGCGCACTCGCACGCGCATTCGCATTCGCACGACGCCCACCACCACCATCACCACCACGACCACCACGACCACCGTCATCCTGCAACGTCAGTGTTTCTTGAGCGCAATCTGATGTTACCGTGTTTTGCGCATCGCTTTGGCCGCCAATCGTTGACGCGTGTCCAGGCACATCGGTAGGCTAGCTTGCATTCCCCCATTTCCTCGTTTCCTCGTCTTGACGTTCACTCTAATTCTTGTCCAATCCAGCGGCGACACGTCAGCACCGTCCGACGAGTTCCGCGGCGCGGACGGGCGCGTGTACCACTCGCACGACGGGCTCGCCCCGCACTCGCACGAGCCGCTCGACAGCGCGGGGAGCTTCGCGCTGCGCGCGCCGCCCTTGCCGAACCGCGACTTGGCGGAGCGCGCGTTTACCGTTGGAATCGGCGGGCCCGTCGGATCAGGGTATGCGGGGGGAGGGAGAGAGGAAGAGGGGGGGGGGGGAGGAAAAAGATGAGAGAAAGGCAGGGAGGGAGGAAGGGAAGGGGAATGGGCGCCAAATGATGTGAAGGAGTGGCGGAAGGGATGTGGCGGGGGGGATCAGATCAGAAGGGGTGCATTCCGCGCGACTCGTGGGAGGGAAGGGAACGGAAAGCATGGGAAAGGGCAAGGAGCGGTGCTTGGCAAGCAAGCAGCGTGCAGTGTGGCTTTTGAGGCGCCTCACAAGCAGCGTGCAGTGTGGCTTTTGAGGCGCCTCACAAGCAGCATGAAGTGTGGCTTTTGAGGCGCCTCACAAGCAGCGTGCAGTGTGGCTTTTGAGGTGCCTCACAAGCAGCGTGCAGTGTGGCTTTTGAGGCGCCTCACGAGCAGCGTGCAGTGTGGCTTTTGAGGCGCCTCACAAGCAGCGTGCAGTGTGGCTTTTGAGGCGCTTCACAAGCAGCGTGCAGTGTGGCTTTTGAGGCGCCTCACAAGCAGCGTGCAGTGTGGCTTTTGAGGCGCCTCACAAGCAGCGTGCAGTGTGGCTTTTGAGGCGCCTCACAAGCAGCGTGCAGTGTGGCTTTTGAGGCGCCTCACAAGCAGCGTGCAGTGTGGCTTTTGAGGCGCCTCACAAGCAGCGTGCAGAGCAGCGTGCAGTGTGGCTTTTGAGGCGCCTCACAAGCAGCGTGCAGTGTGGCTTTTGAGGCGCCTCACAAGCAGCGTGCAGTGTGGCTGTGCTTATTGGGAATCCATTTTGTTGAGGCGTCTTCTCAACAACAGGCCCCGGCTGTGGGGAAAGAATGAGGCATTGTCCAAGCAATGCAGTTGCGGCAGTCAGGAGCTCGTCAGGTGCTCGTCAGGTGTTCTGTCAGGTGTTCTGTCAGGTGCTCTGTCAGGTGCTCGTCAGCAGACACCAACCAATGACATCGTCACAACCACTCACCTCTCCCACACCCTCATTTTCCCACCATCCCCCCAACCACCCATTACCCAGAACCTTGGTCAGGAAACATGGCACTCATGCTGCCTCTGTGCCGCACGCCAAGGGACAGGTACGGCCTGAGAGGCAGCAAGCACCAACCATTGGCATTCTCACAACCACCCACCTCTCACCCACCCTCATTCCCCCACCCATTCCCCCACCCATTCCCCACAACCATTCCCCCACCCATTCCCCACAACCATCTGGCAGAAACACTCATGCCAGCTCTGTGCCGCACGCGAAGGGACGAGTACGGCCTGAGAGGCAGCAAGCACCAACCATCAGCAGTCTCACACCTGCTCACTAGTTCACTCTTTCTTGAAATTTCCCTGTCCCCCCCTTTCACCCATTACCTCATTCTGTCCCCCCCTTTCACCCATTACCTCATTCTCTGCCGCACACTCAGAGAGCAGCACAGCCTGGCAGCCGTCACCAACGACATCTTCACATCAACCACCCATTCCGCCCCTATGCTCCCCCATTCCCCCGTCCACTCACATGAAAACGGCCCTAATGTTGGCCCTCTGCCGCACGCTGAGAGAGCAGCACAGCCTGGCAGCCGTCACCAACGACATCTTCACAACCACTCATATTCCTCCCGTCCCGCACACCCATTGTCCAATCCACCACAGAAATACTGCTCTCATGCTGGCCCTGTGTCGCACGGTGAGAGAGCAGCACAGCCTGGTCTGGCAGCGGTTACCAACGACATCTTCACGCAGGAGGACGGCGAGTTCCTCTCATGCGCTCTGCTTCTCCCCTCCTTCCCTCCCGCATGCACTCCACTCCACGTTGACAACCCTCATTACTCTCTTGCAGGAAAACGGCCCTAATGTTGGCTCTCTGCCGCACACTCAAGGACCAGTACAGCCTGGCAGCTGTTACCAACGACATCTTCACATCAACCGCTCATATCACCTCCGCTCCCATTCCCCCGTTCCCTCATTCACCCCCAACCATTTTGCAGAAAGACTGCTCTCATGCTGGCCCTGTGTCACACACTCAACGACCAGTACAGCCTGGTCTGGCAGCGGTTACCAACGACATCTTCATGCAAGAGGACGGCGAGTTCCCCTCATGCGCTCCTCTGCTCCCCTCCTTCCCTCCCACGGCTAGCTCCCTCCTTTCCTCTGCACCTCCCTTCTTTGCTCTGCATCTTCACACCGCCTCATTCCCCCATTCAACCCCAACCCATCCATCGTGTAGCAGAACGGCCCTCATGCTGGCTCTGTGCCGCACACTAAGGGACAGCAAGACTGCTCTCATGCTGGCTCTGTGCCGCACACTAAGGGACAGCAAGACTGCTCTCATGCTGGCTCTGTGCCGCACACTAAGGGACAGCAAGACTGCTCTCATGCTGGCTCTGTGCCGCACACTAAGGGACAGCAAGACTGCTCTCGTGCTGGCTCTGTGCCGCACACTAAGGGACAGCAAGACTGCTCTCGTGCTGGCTCTGTGCCGCACACTAAGGGACAGCAAGACTGCTCTCGTGCTGGCTCTGTGCCGCACACTAAGGGACAGCAAGACTGCTCTCATGCTGGCTCTGTGCCGCACACTAAGGGACAGCAAGACTGCTCTCATGCTGGCTCTGTGCCGCACACTAAGGGACAGCAAGACTGCTCTCGTGCTGGCTCTGTGCCGCACACTAAGGGACAGCAAGACTGCTCTCATGCTGGCTCTGTGCCGCACACTAAGGGACAGCAAGACTGCTCTCGTGCTGGCTCTGTGCCGCACACTAAGGGACAGCAAGACTGCTCTCGTGCTGGCTCTGTGCCGCACACTAAGGGACAGCAAGACTGCTCTCATGCTGGCTCTGTGCCGCACACTAAGGGACAGCAAGACTGCTCTCATGCTGGCTCTGTGCCGCACACTAAGGGACAGCAAGACTGCTCTCGTGCTGGCTCTGTGCCGCACACTAAGGGACAGCAAGACTGCTCTCATGCTGGCTCTGTGCCGCACACTAAGGGACAGCAAGACTGCTCTCGTGCTGGCTCTGTGCCGCACACTAAGGGACAGCAAGACTGCTCTCGTGCTGGCTCTGTGCCGCACACTAAGGGCGTATCCAGGTTCGGGTCATCAGCACTGTTCCAGGCATCCGCAATTTGCGGATGCCCCGAACTACATAAAACACCACTTTGGGCCATCGATCATCGTGCGACCCTCAAAAAGGCGCGTTTGTTGTCCCGCCAAAAAACCAGAGCCAAAAGTTGCTCCAACCAATAGGTGCGCCCGCCTTCATGCCATGCGATCCCTTTCACCCGGTTGCGCGACACTCACCCCACCAACCCATCCGTCAAAATTCCCAGCGGTAATGGAACATTTGGATCTGCCCGCCTCCGAAACCCATCCCAACCACCTATGATGCGAAAGACGCTCAGAGGACGCTGCGTCCTGCGTCTGGACGCAGCGTCTGGACGCTAGGACGCAAGACGCGCGTCCAGACGCAGGACGCACATCGAATTTTTTTCGGGCTGCCCCGATTTTTTTTTTTTCCAGATTACGAATTTCAATCTTGCGATTTCGACGCGATACGATACGATAAACTATGTATGTATGTGACCTTGGGACATGTGTGTGTGACAATACGTGACTCACCTTAATCTTGAGATTTGGGGGAAAATTTGATGTTGGGGCCAAGTTTGCCTTGAAAGTGTGGAACGTTCCCCCCCCCCCCCCCCCCCCCTCATCCCATGCCCTATAACAAGTTTTTTTGCCTGCCCGGGGGTTTTTTTTTGCCTGCCCGGGACTGCGTCTTTTGGTGCGTCTTTCTGGTCCTGGTGAAGCGTCCTGCGTCCGGACGCATGCGTCTGGACGCATGCGTCCAGGACGCAGGACGCGTCTTTCGCATCATAGCCAACCACACAGTCTCACCCAAGGGTTTCACAAAACGGCAGAAACAGAATTGTGCTACACGCAGGGATGGTGTTGGTGAAATTGCCGGGCGTGAATGCTGTAGGTCGTCCGTCAAAAGAGGGGGACCCAACATGGGGTCGCACTTGTTTCTGATTGGTGGGGGTCACATTGGGAGTGACGGTCGCATGCAGGTTGCAGGATGACCCAAAGTTCAAGCCGCGCGCGGTTCCGGTGTTGAGTTCGGGGCATGCGTGATTTGCGGATGCCCCAAACAGTTGAATGAACAGTGCTGATGACCCGAAGCTGGATACGCCCTAAGGGACAGCAAGACTGCTCTCGTGCTGGCTCTGTGCCGCACACTAAGGGACAGCAAGACTGCTCTCGTGCTGGCTCTGTGCCGCACACTAAGGGACAGCAAGACTGCTCTCATGCTGGCTCTGTGCCGCACACTAAGGGACAGCAAGACTGCTCTCATGCTGGCTCTGTGCCGCACACTAAGGGACAGCAAGACTGCTCTCGTGCTGGCTCTGTGCCGCACACTAAGGGACAGCAAGACTGCTCTCATGCTGGCTCTGTGCCGCACACTAAGGGACAGCAAGACTGCTCTCGTGCTGGCTCTGTGCCGCACACTAAGGGACAGCAAGACTGCTCTCATGCTGGCTCTGTGCCGCACACTAAGGGACAGCAAGACATCTTCAACATCAACCACCCATTCCGCCCCTGTGCTCCCATTCCTCCGTCCACCCACAGCAAGACTGCTCTCATGCTGGCTCTCTGCCGCACACTACGAGACAAGTACAGCCTGGCAGCGGTCACCAACGACATCTTCACGCAGGAGGACGGCGAGTTCCTGATCAAGCACGCCGCCCTCTCGCCGCCCGGCCGCATCCGGGCGGTGGAGACGGGCGGCTGTCCGCACGCCGCCATCCGGGAGGACATCAGCATCAACCTGGGGCCGCTGGAGGAGCTTTCCTCTGAGTTTAAGGCGGATATGCTGCTGTGCGAGTCAGGCGGAGGTGAGTAACGATGAATGTGGAAGGGGTGTTTGCATGCAGTGAGTGTGACAAACGGTCTCCTCTCAGGTTTGCACGCTGCCATGCGGGAGGACATTAGCATCAACCGGGGATCGTTGGAGGAGCGAGCGTCCTACTGAGTTTAATGTTAATGCTAATGTTAACGTCCTCAGGTTGATGTGAAAGGCCAGCCGGCGGGCATGCTGCTGTGCTGTGCGAGTGAGGAGGAGGTGAGTGAGTGAGACGATGGTCTACTCTCATTCCATGTTTGCATGCCACTGCCTGCACGCCGCCACCCGGGAGGATATTCGCTTCAGCCTGGGGGACTAGTGGAGGAGTTGTCAGCGCACTTCGATCTGAACATGCTGCTGTGTGAATCAATCAGGGGGAGGTGAGTGAGAGGAAGGGTGCCAGCCATGGTTGCATGTGAGTGAGAGGAAGGGTGCCAGCCATGGTTGCATGTGAGTGAGAGGAAGGGTGCCAGCCATGGTTGCATGTGAGTGAGAGGAAGGGTGCCAGCCATGGTTGCATGTGAGTGAGAGGAAGGGTGCCAGCCATGGTTGCATGTGAGTGAGAGGAAAGGTGCCAGCCATGGTTGCATGTGAGTGACTTTCTGCATGCCGCCATCGGGGAAGTCATGAGCATCAAAATAGGTCTGTTAGAGGGACTTTGTACTCAGTTTAAGGCTGATATGCTGCTGTGCTAATCAAGAGGAGGTGAGTGACTGACTGACTGTGATCGCGGAAGGCCGTTTGGCATGTTGCCATGCCATCAGAAGGGCAGGAGCAGCAAGGTGGGAGTTGCTGGAGCACCAAGATGGGAGTTGCTGGAGCACCAAGGTGGGGGTTGCTGGAGCACCAAGGTGGGGATTGCTGGAGAAGCTGTCAGCAACGCAGTTTAACTGCTTTGAGACGCCTCAAACGTTGACTGCTCCCATCAACCCCGTATGCCTATTGTCGGTTCACCATATGTCTTCCCTCTGTTGCCTACCCCTCGGCCCTGCTCCCATCCGGAGAGGGAATCAGCCCCCTAGCAGGCGATTCCAACCAGGAAGGGACTTGCAGCAGACCTGCCCCAACTTTCTCCCCTGTTCACCTTCCTCGCAGACAACCTAGCGGCCAACTTCAGCCGAGAGCTAGCAGACTACATCATCTATATCATCGATGTGTCGGGCGGCGACAAAATCCCCAGGAAGGGCGGCCCGGGAATCACCCAGGCAGACCTGCTGGTGAGAGAAAAGGGGGGTGAGAGGCGGGGACGATGGGGTTGGTCCCAGGGACATGAGCTTAAGTGTGCGGTGGGTGGGGTGGGGGGGATAAGATCCCCAAGAAGGGCGGCCCGGAAATCACCCAGGCAGACTTGCTGGTGAGAGGAAAGGGGGGTGAGAGGAAAGGGGGGTGAGAGGAAAGGGGGGTGAGAGGAAAGGGGGTTGGGTGAGAGGCGGGGACGATGGGCGTGGTCCCAGGGACATGAGCTTAAAACCAGGGTCTCACGTAGATCATTTGTTTTGCAGTTGATGGGAAACCCCCGTTTCCCATTGGTTGACAAGCCCTAAGAAACGAAAAGGGGTGCAGCGAGGGATTCGAAGGGTACTAAATCGTTTGCTGTGTTCTAAACTTTCTAGGTATGGAAACAGGTTCGGATCCGAAGCTACAGTGCCAGTGAAATGTCAAGAGTTGTCGAAAGTCTCATGTACCTGAAATTTGTTTTGCAATTGGTGCTGAGGCAAAAGAGGGGGAGTGTCGCACGCCAACTTCCCAAGCCAACCAGTTCAACTCGCCTACAAAAACAAGGTAACTCAAGTCTCAAATGTTTTGCAATTGATGGCGAAATCTCTCTTACACGAGACCGTGGCTTTAAGTGTGCGGTGGGTGGGGTGGGGGGGTAAGATCCCCAGGAAGGGCGGGCCAGGGATCACCCAGGCAGACCTGCTGGTGAGGTGAGGTGGTTGTTGCATGATGCTGTGTCATGGGATTGCCCTGCTAGCCTGCCATGGGATTGCCCTGCTAGCCTGCCATGGGATTGCCCTGCTAGCCTGCCATGGGATTGCCCTGCTAGCCTGCCATGGGATTGCCCTGCTAGCCTGCCATGGGATTGCCCTGCTAGCCTGCCATGGGATTGCCCTGCTAGCCTGCCATGGGATTGCCCTGCTAGCCTGCCATGGGATTGCCCTGCTAGCCTGCCATGGGATTGCCCTGCTAGCCTGCCATGGGATTGCCCTGCTAGCCTGCCATGGGATTGCCCTGCTAGCCTGCCATGGGATTGCCCTGCTAGCCTGCCATGGGATTGCCCTGCTAGCCTGCCATGGGATTGCCCTGCTAGCCTGCCATGGGATTGCCCTGCTAGCCTGCCATGGGATTGCCCTGCTAGCCTGCCATGGGATTGCCCTGCTAGCCTGCCAGGTGCTAGCCTGCCAGGTGCTAGCCTGCCAGGTGCTAGCCTGCCAGGTGCTGTGGGGATGTGAGGGGGAGTAACCTCTTGAGGAGGGAGTGCAGTGTGTGTTGGCGAGGGGTAGCAGACTACATCATCTACATCATTGACGTGCCGGGCGGCGATACGATCCCCAGGAAGGGCGGCCCTGGCATCACCCAGGCAGACCTGCTGGTGAGAGAAAAGGGGGGTGAGAGGAAAGGGTGAGAGGAAAAGGGGATGTTGGGGAGGACAATGGGTGTGGTCCCAGGGACATGAGCTTACGGGGGGGGGGGGGGGGAGTGAGAGCGTGGGGTGTAGATTTGGTGAAAATTACAAGGCGGTTTGACCCCGACCCTCTTTATAGATTTGTGCTGAACCCCCCTCTCTGGTCCCGTAGCTGCAGGGGCCAGGGGTCCTCTCTGGTTCCTCCGCACCCCTCCTTTTCCTTGTCTCCCTTCCTCTTCAAACCCCCTTCTCCCCCGCCCTCTCCCCATTTCCCCCCGTTTCCTTGTCTCCCTTCCTGCTCTGTGCTCTCTGCTGCGTGCATTCTTCCATGCTGACGTGGCATCATCAGGTGGTGAACAAGACTGACCTGGCGCCGGCGATCGGTGCTGACCTGGCGGTCATGGAAGCGGACGCGCTGCGCATGCGGGATGGGGGGCCCTTGGTGTTTGCACAGGTGGGTGAAGTGAATGGGGGAGAGGGGAATGGAGGGACACCTGTGGAGCTCCATTCCCCACAGATATGTTAGCAAATGTGTTTGCAAATGTGCCTGCAAACACCAGAGGGGCGCGTATGTTGCCAGAGTGGTGGATGCTGGTGGGATGATGGGAAGGCGGGTCGCTGGTGTTTGTGCAGGCGGGTGAATGGGGGAAAGGGGGATAGAGGGACACCTGTGGTGCTCCATTCCCCACAGGTATGTTAGCAATTGTGCTTGCAAATGTGTTTGCAAACACCAGAGCGGCGCGTATGTTGCCAGAGCTGTGGATGCTGGTGGGATGCTGTGATGGCGGCCCATTGGTGTTTGTGCAGGTGGGTGAATGGGGGAGAGGGGAATGGAGGGACAGAGGGGCGCGTATGTTGCCAGAGGGGCGCGTATGTTGCCAGAGGGGCGCGTATGTTGCCAGAGGGGCGCGTATGTTGCCAGAGCTGTGGATGCTGGGAAGGCGGGCCGCTGGTGTTCGTGCAGGTGGGTAGCGAGGTAGAGGAGGATAGGAGGATATATAACAGTGCTGGTTTCCATGCTGCCAGCGTTTTCAGAGACAGTTAGGACCATGTGTTCACAGCATGAGTGGTGCCCTACATGTGCCCGTGCATCCCATCCGTTCTATGGGGTATATGTGCCAGCCATATGTGCTCACAGCATGGAGTGCCAGCCATATGTGCTCACAGTATGGAGTGCCAGCCATATGTGCTCACAGTATGGAGTGCGCTCTGCATTGATGCATCGCATGCCTCTTCCCGTGCGTGCACCTATCCCATCCCTCAATGCAGGTGAAGCATGGAGTGAACTTTTGAGGCGCCTCAAAACTCCTCCCGTGCGTGCACCTATCCCATCCCTCAATGCAGGTGAAGCACGGAATGGGGGTACCAGCTATAGTGGACTATGTGATCACAGCATGGGGTGCCGCTCTCACAGCATGGGGTGCCGCTCTCATTGCATGCATGAAAATATACCATCCCCATGCATCCCTCCCATTCATCCGCCCATCCTACTTTGCGGGCTCCCATCCCTCCCCTCAATGCAGGTGAAGCACGGAGTGGGGGTACCAGCAATAGAGGACCATGTGCTCACAGCATGGAGGGCTCACAGCATGGAAAGCTCACAGCATGGAGGGCTCACAGCATGGAGGGCTCACATGATCACATCCGTGCCTGCATGCCCTAATACATCCCATCCATCCTCCTGCCCGTCCCACCCCTCCACCCATCCCATCTTTCAATGCAGGTAAAGCATGGGGTGGGGGTACCAGCCATAGAGGACCATGTGCTCACAGTATGGACAGCTCATCCCCATAAATGTTGTCATTCATCCCATTCTTGCATGCGCCATCCTCGCAGGTGAAGCACGGGGTGGGGGTACCAGCCATAGTGGACCATGTGCTCACAGCGTGGTGTGCCGCCACAAGCCAGCCCAGGAGGTGACGGGCATCATGCTCCCTGTTACAGTTACAGTCACAATTACAGTCAGTCGTAGTTACACGCATGGTTACGGTAGTCTCGGTTACAGTCTACAGCCCTGGCCTTAGTGGACCATGTGGTCACAGCATGGAGTGCCGCCACAGTCCAGCCCAGGAGGTAACAAGACACGTGCATCCTGTTACAGTCACGGTTACAATCAGGTGCTCACAGCGTGGTGTGCCATCCTCGCAGGTGAAGCACGGGGTGGGGGTACCAGCCATAGTGGACCATGTGCTCACAGCGTGGTGTGCCGCCACAGGCCAGCCCAGGAGGTGACGGGCAACATGCTCCCTGTTACAGTTACAGTCACAATTACAGTCAGTCGTAGATCCACGCAAGGTAACAGTAGTCACGGTTACAGTCTATAGCCCTGGCCTTAGTGGACCATGTGCTCACAGCGTGGAGTGCCGCCACTGGCCAGCCCAGAAGGTAATACTGTCCTCTCCCTGGCACACTTCCTGTTACGGTACATTCACTGTCACCATGAAGGTAATGATATTGGTCGTGTTTGTAATCAAAGCCATGGGTTTAAATAGATGGTTGGCATCTTTCGGCTTGGCTCTATTATGTGTAAGCCTTTTCGCTGGACGATTTATGATAGGCGCATGTTGTATTAATAAGAGATGAAGTGTGATTATTGGTTCCTCTTAGGGCTTGTACGTTCATTTGTATCCGAGCCTGGATTCATGCATGAAATCTATAACGAGGACAACTCGAGAGTTTCCCTGAGTGAATCAGGCACTGATTCTGCCGCGTGCCAATCCCAAAGCACAGCATACCAGCCTTTAACGGTGCCGATGCGCGCTCACGTTCTTCAGCTCGACGGTACCGTAGATGAGTCCAGCCTTGGCTTCCAACATCGATGGTGGTGTGTCGTGTAACGTGTTGTGTGACATTTGCGGACCAATCAACCAACACCTATGTGACACGCCCCTCTTGAGTGTCATTCACCATTCACCGTTCATGATTCACCAACCCTAAACGTCGTGATTCAGAATTCTCGATTCAGAAGATTCAGGACAGGAATCAGGATTCACGAACCAGACCACACCACGCCGACCCGTACTTCACGTGTATATTTTCATTTCGACTTGAGTGAACACCGCAAATCACGCCAGAAACCACGCCACAAATCACGCCTCCAAAGACGTGAAGAGCTGACTGGCAAACTCGTCGTTGCCACGCGGCTGTAGTCTAGTTTAAACATCGCGGCACGGTGCTGACCTGCAGGCCGCATTCTCGCGTCGGAACCCAATCTTAAACAGTTCAGATGGCAGCAGCGTCGTCAGGGACTCTAAACGGCCTGTCGAATGGCGGCGCCAGCCACGCCGCCATTCGCGGCCCACGCTTCGGCACCTACAACCGACGTGGCACGTCTGTCTCCACCGCGTCGCGTGCGACACTGATGAGATTTCGAGCCGCTGGCGACACGTGGCAATCGGCCACCGCGCGACAATGCGGGTGGTCCAGCGGGGAGATTGGGGGAGGATGGGGAAACGGCGGGATTGCCGGAGGATTGCGCAGGCGCGCGGAACGGAAAGGGGGAGTATCTGCAGCGGTAGGGGTTGCCGGTGGGGGGGGAGTGGTTGTTGTAGCGGCGGCGGGAGCGGAGCAGTCGCCTTATGACGTGCTGGGAGTGGCTCGAGGCGCGTCTCAGAAGGAGATTAAGTCCGCGTTCCGGCGGCTGGCCCTTAAGTACCACCCCGACGTGAATAAAGCGGTGAGACACTCTCGAGAATTGTGAAAAGGGTTAGGGATTGTGAACGCATCGCCTACTGTGACGTGAAAAAGGCGATGGTAAATTTGTTTTCTCAAAAGTCAAGAATTGTGAAATAGGTTTGAGATTGTGAACGCATCGCTTTGCGCTTCTTTCCTCACCTCGCTCTTCTTCCCTCACCTCTCCCACCCTCCGCACAGTCGCTTTGGTGTTTCGCTTTGGTGTTTGTTGATTTGAGACAGCAGCAAGCACGAGACTGAAACGTTGCTCTCCTCATCCTCCTCCTCCTCCTCCTCCTCCTCCTCCTCCTCCTCCTCCTCCTCCTCCTCCTCCTCCTCCTCCTCCTCCTCCTCCTCCTCCCCCCCCGTCCTCCTCCTTCCCCCCCTCCTCCCCCCCCCTATAGCCCGACGCTCAGGAGCGTTTTGTGCGCATAAAGCAGGCGTATCAGACGCTCACAGACCCCGATGCTGCTGCCAACGCCAAGGCGCGCGCAGCCTCGCAGCGGCAGCAGCAGCAGTGGGCGCGGAGCAGCAGCAGCACCAGGGCGAGGGGGGGTTATGGTGCGCAGTGGGACGCGGATTTCAGTGGCCCGTTTGACCCGTTTGATGCGTGGAAAGGACTAAAGAACAAGCCAGATGACTTCTACAGCCTTGGTGAGCATATGGCTTGGTTCAGGTCAGGAGGTCTATGGGAGGGTATGGGCATTGGGAGGGTATGGGGCATTGGGAGGGTATGGGGCATTGGGAGGGTATGGGGCATTGGGAGGGTATGGGGCATTGGGAGGGTATGGGGCATTGGGAGGGTATGGGGCATTGGGAGGGTATGGGGCGAGAGCGGGGTATGGGGCGCTGTAGGACGCTGATTTCAGTGGTCCGTTTGACGCGTTGAAAGGACCAAAGAACAAGCGGGATGACTTTTACAGCCTCGGTGAGTGTGGCTAGGCTTGGCTTGGCTTGTTCAGTCGGGAGCAGGTATGGTGCGCGTGGAGGGGAAGGGAGGGGCGCAGTGGGATGCTGATTTCAGCGGTCCGTTTGATCCGTTTGAAGCATGGAAAGGGCCAAAGAACAAGCCACATGAAATTTACGGCATCGGTTGGTGTGACTTGGGTTGGCCTGGACAGTAGGGTCGCAGAGGATAATGGGAACAGCAGGGCAGAGGGACAGTAGGCGGTGACGTTATCTCCCCCATTGGCCCATTTGATGCATGGGAGGAATGGGTCGGCTAACAAGCCAGATGACTTTTCCAGTCTTGGTGAGTGTGAGGGTTAGCTTGGACAGTGCGGGGAGAGTGTGGGTCGCAGTGGGATGGTGATTTTGGGGCTGTCTCTGCTGCATGGAAGGGACCTGCGAACAAGGCAGATGCCTTTTACAGGTTCGGTGAGTGCAGTGGTGGGCGGGTGGGGTGGACGGTGCGAGAGTTGTTGCAGTGGGGCAGTGGGGCACTTCCTTTCTCTTGACGTCCCTCAAGGGCCCTGGGAAGAAGTTTGAGGAGGAGCAGGAGGAGCAGGGGAACTACCGCATCGACTGAAAATGCATCTCTGCCCCGCCATGCCCGTGCTTCTCTTCCCTGTGTCCCCCAACCCCTGTGTGCGGGCAGAGGATTGCTCCAAGGATCTTCAGAAGGCCTTTGAAGCAAAAGGAGCAGTTCTATGCCGACTCAAAGTGCATCCCCCTTTCCCACTCACCCCTCTCCCCACTCACCCCTCTCCCCCATGCCAGCGTGCCTGCCCCCTGCACAGTGCAGACGATTTCTTCAAGGGTTTTCAAAAAGGCTTTGAGGAGAAGCACAAGGAGCTAATTTGAGTCAACTCAAGAATCATCTTTGTTTTCTGCCCCGTGTCCCGTGTCTCTTGCCCTGTGCCCCATGTCTCATGGCCACTGCCCTGCATGCGCGCAGACGATTTCTTCAAGGATCTTCAGAAGGACTTTGAGGAGAAGCAGAAGGAGCGCGGCACCGGCAAGCCCAAGAGTCTGTGGGAGGAGCTGGCGGTGAGTGTTGCAGGGGATGGTGGCTTGGGGGTTTTGGGAATTGGGGCGGTGTGGGTTGGTTGGGATTAGACCTGTGTGAGTGCATTGAGGGGTGGAGAAGCAGAAGGAGCAGGGGGGCAAGCTCAAGAGCCTGTGGGAGGAGCTGGCGTTGAGTGGAAGAAGCTGTGGATGGTTATGGAGCAGTGTGGATTGGTTGGGGTGAGACATGTGTGAGTGCAGGGAGGGGTGGAGAAGCAGGGGAGCAGGGGGACCATTCGAAACCCTGTGGGAGGAGCTTGTGCGCTATTGCATTCCTGCCTATCATTCAGTGCTCATATTACATTTCTCACAAAAAAAAAAAAAAAAAAAAAAAAAACAACAACAACAACAACAACTTTTATGCTCCATATTGCATTCCCCGTTAACAGGACCTTGGAGAGGACTTGGTGGATTTTCTGGAGAAGAATGTCCCGGAGCAGCAAGAGAAGCCCAACTATAGCAAAGAGTATTTCTACTCTGGAGCCAGCAGCAGACCCGATGGCAGCAGCAGTGGCCCCAGCAGCAGCAGCAGCAGCAGCAGCAGCAGCAGCAACAACAGCAGCAACAGTGGCAGCAGCAGGGGCGGGAACAGCGGAAGCAGCAGCGGCAGTGCTAGCACAAACAGCAGAGGCAGCAGCAGCCAGAGCAGCAGTGGCAGTGGCAGCAGTGGGTACGGGTCATCCTCCTACTCGTCTGGCTCATCTGCGAATAGAGCGCAGCAGAGCACGTGGGAGGAGAGGATTAAGAAGGAGAAGGAGAAGGAGATTGATGATGAGCTGCAGAAGCTGAAGCGCGAGATGGGGCTGTGATATGTCAGATTGCCAGTGAATCTGGAATATACTTCTGAGTTTTACCGGTTGATAGAGCGCAGCAGAGCGTGTGGAGGAGAGGATATAGAAGGGGAAGGAGAAGGAGATCAAGACGAGCTGCAGAAGCTGAAGCAGGAGATAGGGTTGTGATGGGCCTGTGGTGTGGGTGTGATGTGACTGGCGGTTTTTAGAGCACTTTTTTAATCGACTCATCAGTCGAGCCCAGCATATTTCGTGGGAAGGAGAGGATGAGGAGGGAGGAGGAGACTGATGATGAGCTGCAGAAGCTGAAGCGGGAGATAGGGAACTGAATGGATGAATCTGGGATGGAGCGTCAACTGCCATATCTATATACCTGAAGTGTGGCTTATGCACTATGAGTTGCTGAAAGGGGGAATGGGGTTGTGATGTTTTTATTACATTTCAAGAAATGGCATTCAGCTCAACAGATGTGAGCTGATTTACAAATGTGGTTGATAAACTACTAGTTAAATGCTAAACTGAGGGCCCCCTGATTGGGGTGAAGGTTTTCTTGATGAACCAGCTTCAGTATGAAGAACAAAATGTATATAAATAATTTACAAGACCAGGTTCTAGAGGCAAGCCATTCAGTGGCAGTCTAGTTACTCTGGTCCAGCCACAGCTGCTACTACAAAATGTAACCATCTAATCTAAGAGTCACCCGGCTGCTAGAGCCAGTGATTCTCCGTTTGGCTCCAAACCTGCCGATGCCAACGGAGATGCCTGATGCTCTCAATGCTCATCCATATACAGCTGATTCATGTAGCACATCGTTCCTGTCCCAAGGGTCCTGAAACTTTGCTTGCTACTGCCATGCTCCTCCTCTTCCTCCCCGTCATCACACCCAAACAGCTGGTTTGAGGCAATCCGTCCCTCCTCCACCTTCCCAAACCCCTTCACCTCCATGCTCCAGTCCTTACCATTGCAGGAAAGGCCCTTCCCGATCGCACTCTTCACTGTTTTTTCCTCAGCTGCCACGAGATCAGTGAAATGGTAAGCAGTGGACAGAGAGTGTCCTTTCCCACTGCTGGAACCGCCTCGGCCAATCCCCCTCTTCACACCAGCTACCTCCTTCGTCAAGCCAGTGGGGCTGCTGCAGAGGCTGTGAGCGGAGGAGGAGCAGGAGGAGGAGTCCGAGGAGAGGTGGATGAGACACGCACTGCAGCTGCTGCAGCTGCTCTCACTGCGACTCAAGCTGCACCACCCGCTGCTCGCCTTTGCTCCCTCCTTCCCACCCTGCTGTGCCTCTGATTCCGCCTTCCCACCCTGCTCTGATCCGCCTTTCACACCCAACCAGGCCGCAACCTTGGCTGAGGAAGCATCAATCTTGGAAACTGAGTCAACTGAGCAGGTACGTGAGGCAACAGAGTCCTCTTGAGCAAGCAGCTCTAGGAATGAATAAGCTTTCCTCTTCGGTTCCTTCGGTTCCTCTGCCTTTTCTACTTCCTCTGCGTTCTCAGTTTCCTCTGCTTCCTCAGCCTGACTCGAAACGGCAGCAGTCACACTTGGAGCATCCACAGTCACAGCAACAGCCACAGCAGCGGTTTCTACCTCTGCATCTGTTGACGCAGCTTCTTCCAGAAGAGCGATAACAGGGAGAACGGGAACCGACAGCACCTCCACTGCTGCTTGCTCGCACGGCCTGATCCAGCTGGAGACGGCCTGCACGAGAAAAACGAGATAAGGTTAGTTGCTGCCTAAGGAGAAGAGTCATGAAATTACCAGCAAACAGATGGTGAATAACTTATGAACAAAACATTGCTGGTACAGAGGACGAGGGCTTGCGAGAGCTGCAGGGAATGGCTAGGAGGAAGTGGTTCTTACCAGGCGTGGAGCTGCGATCATGCTGCAGACGAAGCGAGTGAGGGAGTCGTTTTGCTCCCAGCAGCTCGCGAACAGCGCGTCGACGTCCATGCAGGCGTTTTCAGCACCGATGCAGGCCATGTTGTTGACGGACGAAGAGTTAGAAGGTTACGGCTAAGCTTTCGCGACGAGTTTGCAGAGTATACTGAGCACTTGAGCAGACTTCTACAGCTGGTAGCGAAGGGAGCACAAGGTAGGACGATTAACAAGTAGCTTTAGTCGAGACTGATGAACGATATAGAAACTCCGGCGACGTATTTGTAGTGTTTCTGTATGGTGGGTGCAGCAACTTCGATATGCGTCGGGTGAGTAGCGAGTGAGAGCGAGCGAGCGGGGGAATGCGACGAGAGGGGTGGCAGAGGGAGCGAGCAAGCAGGGGAACCCGCCGACATGTTCGCTGCTGTGGCATGGGCTTGGGAGGCGACGACGTAGGCTGGCCTTGGGGGAATCGGGGTGTCGCACGAGATTCCATTTTTCAAGCGACGATTTAGAGTGGAACACGTGTATCTAATGTGCCAGCGAGGAGCGTCGCTTGGAACCAGGTTATGCTCTAGCGTCCGCTGCAATCGGGAGCACTGAGTGCGACGCGAGAAGGCGGGAAATTACGTCAGGTTCGGAGCCGACGAGAGTTTCGGCGAGCTCTGTGTGGTCCACCGAACCTAATGTCAAGGCCTAGAGAAAACCACGGGGACATGACCAACATACCACACCACATAGAATAAGTTGCGATCGAACCTGGCCAGCAGGTTGGGCAGTGAGGTTTTGCAGAAGCCAGGGGAGCGACAAAATCGAGACTCCGTAAGCACTGCACTTTTCCCCGCTGCACCCTAATGGCGAAGAACATGGAAGAGTTTTATGTGTACAGAACTTTATTTGAGTTATGCAAAGGGATATATAGAGTTTAAGCTTAAAATATTTGCATGTCTTTAACATATTAAACAGAAAACGGTACTCTTCTGCCATTGGAATAAGTGTAAGAAATATTGCATGTTTGCACAATTGCGAAAGACCAGTTGGTTGATGATACTAGGCTTCTGTTCTCAAGAGCGGGAACAGAATGGGACAAACTCAATGGCGTGTAACTTTTTCACTTTCTGAACGTCCGGACAGCCTGTCATCCGGACTTTTATAGGGTTACTGTTTTTGTGAAATGTCGCTTTCTCTATGATTCGTGGACGGACTATGACGAAAGAAGTAACCCTAAAAAAGTCCGGACGTTGAGCCGTCCGGACGGTCAGAAAGAGAAAAAGTTACACGCCCTAAGACAGCTACCGACGCTGCTGGCCCTGGCACTGCTGCAGCTGGCGCTGCTGTTGGCGCAGCTGTTTTTCAGCGAGGGGAGGAGGACGAAAGAAGAGATATTGATGGTAAGAGTGTGAGCAGCAGCAGCAACGGAAAACAGTGCAGTGGAGAGGTGAGGATAAGCAATGTGCAAGGGCCGGGGGAAGGTGAGGGGTGGGAAATGGTACTGCCAGGACGAGAAAAAAAAGCACCAGGAAGCAGTGCAGAGTGAAGTAGAAGTGATGTTGCTGCACGTTCATGCGCTCTGCACAATGACGATTGAGGCCGATTGAGCCAAAAGGAAAAAAGGTGAGTTTAAACGGTTAGCCTTCCCGCTGAAGAGATGGAGGAGAGGCATGTGGAAGGGTCAGGAAGAAAGGGGGAAGGATAGGGAGTTGGATGGGGGAAATGCTGGAGGAAGAAGGATGAGGTGCTGTATGAGAGGTAAGGCTACTGCATTTCCTTCTTCTCATCAATTTGCGATTCTCCCTATCCCCTTTCCTTCGTTCCCTTCCGCTGTAGCCTATGGCCTTCATTCCGCCCTCCTCCGATCCACCCCAGGAGGAAACCCCGACTTTTTTATCCCCCCTCCTACCATCCCCACTTCTCCCATCCCCTCTCCCCTTTTCCCCGTATCCCCCCCGCTTACCCTGCATCTTGTTACCCGCCCATCTCCTCGTCCCCCATCCACTATCCCCCCACCTCCCATTCCCCCCATCTCTGATCCCCCGTCTCCCATTCCCCCACCTCCCATTCCCCCATCTCCAATCCGCCATCTCTAATTCCCCCATCTCCAATTCGCCATCTCTAATTCCCCCATCTCCCATCCCACCATCAATCTAACTCCTATCTCACGTTCCTCTGTCCCCCCTTGCCAATCCACCATCCCAAATCCCCATCCCCTATCCCCCACTCCACTTCCTCCATCGCCCATCTCCCACCTCCCATCCCCCACCCCTCATCCTCATACCCCATCTCCCACCCGCTTCTCCCCACCCTGCTCTCACCATTACCCTACGGCCCATTGATTAGCTTCAAGTCCGTCCTCCCACGGATCCGCTAATTTCGTCTGCCCCT